CTGAAGAAGCATGTTTCATTCTTTTTACAGAAACTCCGCACGCACTTGACAAAATGCACCAGCAACTTCTCCTTCTCATTTTGCGACTGTAAAAGCTAAGTTCCGCTAAGTTCTGCTAAGTTGTCAGGTTCGCAGGTTTGAAAAGACAGACCAAACATTTAGGAACACTTATCCAAACATACTAAGCCTGCTAACCACTGTAGGTTGACTTACAAAAACTTAAGAACTTACGTCAACATGTCGAAGTTAATATCAATTTAAAGCTATAATAAAACTAAATTTAACCAATGTTATTAACTTGCCCTATATTGGGTAAGTAGAAGCGGCCCTCGTTGTAGAAGCAGATGCCGGGAACGTGAAGCCGCGCCTGCAGCTGAGTGAGGACCGGACACGTGTCCGAGCCTTCTGTGGGCATAGCGCAGACCTCGGGATAGCCGACGCTGGCGCAGTCTACGAGGAAGCGGAGGTGAGCAGCCTCCGTGAACTCCGGCTGTCGCCGTTCTCGGACATGTGGCACGGCACCGATTTGGAAAAGGTGTCGGCGATCTGCAACTTCGGGTTGCTAGCCGGCGGCGGTTCACAAACCGCGCGGCTCACTGTCCACTGGACGGTCGGAAGGAAACCGTCTAGGGGGAATCCCGTTGTGGGGTTTAGAGCCGATAGCACCGCAGTGATCCACACCACAATCCAGGCGCTTTGGGATAGCGAGGTGACGGTGTGGCATGGTCCGGAGGGAGTTTTGCTTACCTCCGATGCGGGGCCCGAAGCCCTTAGGAACGTCTTCGTGTTCAACGAAGAGACGGGTGAGTATGACAAGCAGGTCGCAGCCTACTCGAACGAAAGGAAGGAGATCGAGCTGCTGCCCGACCCGTCCAGCGGTCCTGCTCAGGACGCGGATGACCAGGGAGTGCGTGACACAGACCTGACCTCTGAGAGTTCTTTTGAGGTCGAGGTTATCGGCGCCCCCACCCGGCCATCTGAAGTCAAAAGGGAAGAGCCTTCCCCGGAGCGGGCGACGCCTAGGTTTGCGACTCTCGATTCTGGTGTTCCAGGCCCCGGAACGGCGGTTGCAGAAGCTCAAGAAGAGGTTAAGGAGGCGCCGGAGCGAGAGCGTTCGCCTGCGCCCGAAAGAAGGGCTAGGGCTCGAATCCCGAAAGGGTATGAAGGTGAGCCGCCAAACTTCTGGTGGGTCCATCTGCCGAAGGAGCTGTGGCAGAAGGATGGATGTTGCCGGCTGCGCACGAGTCGGTCAGGAATCAAGGGCAAATGTCCTATCGATGATGACCACCTGGTCAGCGACCGGCACATAGACGAAATGTTCAAGTTGGAGGCCCGTTATGAAAGGGAGCGTGCCGCTGCAGCTGCCGCAGAAGCCCAAGAGCGGGAGGAGGCAGCACTTGAGGAACGTGGAGCCGCTCCAGGAGAGGGAGCCTCAGCTGAGGGGCGCGTCGTGGCGGATGACATCGTCACGACAGGGTGGCGCTTCTCGAAGATCTGCCGGTCGGTAAGCAGCGAAGGTAGGAAAGAAAAAGAGGGGAGCAAGCTCGCGGGCGTCGCTTCTCGGTTCGAGGGCGACGCCGCGGCTAGCTCATCCAACGCGCCTCGTCTTGAAGAATTAGTTGAGGAGGCGCCAGCAGGAGGCGCTCGCTTGGCGCGCGCTTGGAGTCGCAAGGTGTCCCTAGGCGGGGTGAGAGCCGTGGAACAAGCCTTGGCAAACGCCACTGCCGCAGAAATCAGGCATGGGTTCCAGACCTCATCGCAGGCTGCCACCTTGGCAGAACACTCTCAGGGAGGCACCGCTGCGGATGCCGCCCGAGGAGAACGTCTGGAAGGCCTGATAAAGGCAGGCGCGGCGGCGTATGCTGCCAATCAACTCCTCCGGTCTCGGCTCGGTTCTGAGCCAGTCCCGGAAGGGAGCAAGCCGCAGTATGACTACGGCTCGAGCCTTTCAGAACTAAGGCCAGAAGGAAGAGAACTCAGACACGTGGCTGTAGCCGTAGCAGGCGCCTCCGATGCACCTGCGGGCGCGACTGGGCTCGATGCAAGGCACACAGCAGCGCTGGAGGCGCGCGAGGCCGAAGGGACAGGGAAGAGTTTGAGGCAGCTCATGCGCGAAGCCAAATCGCGCGTCAGGGCCGCAGAACATCGCAGGACCGTTGCAGGCCCTCGTGAAGCCACCCTGCGGCTGGATCGTGCAAGAAAGCGCGGAGAAGAGCGGCTCGAGAGAGGAGAGCGCTGGGGACCTGACGAGGCTCTAGACGAGTTAAGGTACGTCTGGGGTTCATGGGTCTGCTTCTGGTGCGCCACGGTCAACAGCCCAGAAGCGTGGGTTTGCAAGGGGTATTCGCACGGAGAGAAATGCGAAGGAGAGTTCAAGGAGTCCAGAGAATGGGCCCCGGTAAAAGAATCTCTGCGTGCGGCCTATGAAGCAAAAAGGAAAAGGAAGGCAGAAAAGAAGGAGGAGCACCGCACGCTTCTGGGCAAGGCGTTGTCTTTCGCGAAGTGGGAGTGCTCGAGGTGCCGCTCGGCGAACATAGTAAATCGGAATAAGTGCTATGTTTGCTCGCAGCAGCGGCCCAAACGTGCGCGCCGCGAAGATGATAGCTCGGGGACGGACAGCAGCAGAGAGAGAAGGGTTGCTGCCAGCCTCGAGGGCATCCCAGAAAGGAGAAGGCGCAAGAGAGGGGGAACGAAACATCGGAAGCGCACGAAGAAGGTGTGCCGGTGTGGGAGGACTCACACCAACCAGTCCAAACGGGCTGAGGGACCTCGCCGATGTTCTCCGAAGCTGAGAGGTCTCGCGGGCGGGTCTTTCCGTTTCGGAAGGCTTGCCGCGGTCCTTAAGCTTTCAATGCGCTCCGTCGTCCGACTGGTTCAACAAAAGGAACGGCGGACGCCCCGGACCATCCGTTCATGGCTGAGCAAAAAGAGCCGTAACCGCCTTCAGCATGCGCTGAATGGGAACGGCCCCGGCTGGATGAAGATGCTGGCCTTCTTGGCTGCAGTTCCACTGGTTTGGCGGACTGAACAGGGAGCAGAGGAAGTTGTTGACGCGCTCACGTCCTATGCCCAGAGGACAATAGCCGAGGTTGAGGAAGTCTCGGTAGAGATTGTCCAGGTGACAGGAAGGATTGTCGTGTCAGCAGTCCTAGCCACAGGGATGGGGATCCTGTGGTGGCTTGGAAACCTTGTCCGGAACAAGTTGGTCAAGTCAAGCCATGGCAACTCCCTGCCAGCCCGTCTCTTGGAGCTCAAGCCTTCGAAGAATTCGAAGTCAGCCGGAGGTTCGACTTGGGAGGTCACTGGAGGAAGAGGTGTCCACCGAGTCTGGATCGGAGAGGATGGTCAAGGGGCACGCGCTTGCAGGGCGTACCTCGCCAGTGGGGTTTGCGGCCACATTGACTCGGCCATAGGAGAAGCTCGTAGGCTGAAGGTGTATCCTGAGAAAGAGGTCAGGTTCGCCAAAGGTTCCGCGGCAGAAAAAGGTGCGGCCTCACTACTGGCGTTGGGCGCGGAAAATGCGACCCGTGAAAAGAGAGTATGTTTTGAAGGGGTGGCGAAGAAGGCTAGGGAACTGTGGTTGAAGCCGTCGTCGCCTCCGGGTTCGCAGGGGTCAGAATCTGGTTGTTTTGGGGGAGTCAGCAAGATGACTCGTCAGACGGAGTTGAAATCAGATGACAGGGTGGCAAAGGAAGCAACCGCTGGTTTGAATGTCCAGCTGGGGTTGGAAAACGCTCCCGCCGCCCAAAACCTGGAAATCGAGTACGTCCGAAACAAGGAGGCGCAGGTTCGTGCTGTTGAGCTTCTGCAGCAGAACCCAAAAGCGTCCGTACGAGTTACGGCGTACAGTTTCGACCAACCAGATATGGTTGAGATGATCAAGGGTCATCAGGGGTTCGTGCGAATCCTAGTGGACGCTGGGATGACACACGAGTCTCGCACGAAGATGCAACTTCAGAGCCTGATGATGCTCCGAAATGCCGGACATAGAATCCGGGTATGTCGAGGAAGATCCCTGAGCAAGGCCTATGCAGAGGACAGCAGGTCGACAACCGCAGGGTCGGGCTTGAAAGGGATCCAGCACTCGAAAACGTGCTTCGTGGAAAATGGAAAGGTTGGGCACTTGGTGGTCGGGAGCTGTAACTGGACTACAAGCTCAAAGGCCAACAGGGAATCCGGAGTGGTGATCACCGCTGATGTGGATCACCGAGTGTTCCAAGCCTTCAAGGAGCACTTCGAAGAGGATTGGGAAGAGAGCCAGGTGTTCGATGAGGCCGACTTCCAATCCTCGCAGGGTCAAAGGCCGAAAGCAGGCAGGAAGCAGAGTTCGGCTTCCGCGGACTGACTTGTCCGGCTGGCCCTGCGGGTAGCGTGATCCGGTTCGGACCGCTACCGCGGGCTACGCAAGCAGCTTGAAGAGCCGCAGCCACTGTAGTTCCTCCGGCTGAGGGGCGAATGTGGATAGAAGCATGCGTAGCCCTCTAGTAGTTGCATGTGTTTCACTTTTGGCTCAAGCCGCTGAATGGTTTGAGGTTGAGCTCGGTAGGTAGCTGTAGGTAGCCGCTTAGCTCTGTTTCACCGCGTGAACGACCGCTCGGACTGAACTCGTGAGCGATAAACAGCTGCGCGTGCGCGTTTGACCGTCGACGCGGTCAAGACCGTTCGCGTCGCTCACAATTGGGGGCTGTTCTGGGAAATATCTCCTTGTTTTGGGAGAGCCCTTGCGGTCCCTAGGTTGCGGTTCGCACCTGGGACGCGGACTGGGATCGCGGGCGGAAGCCTGCGATTCGCAGCTCCGCCGCGGTAGAAAGAGACATGAGCAAAGAAGTTGCCGATCAGCCTGAAGGAGTCACTCTAGGGGAATGTATCGCAGACGGACTGAAGAGATGAGTTTCTTCAAGTGGCAAGCCTGGAGAAAGGTTGAAGGTAAACGTCCTACGCGAAGACGAGACGGGAGAGGAACGACGACTGTTGAGGAAGTGGCCTTGTGGAGGGCTACTATGGCAGACCTCTACGGCGATGACAGGGCCGAAGGTCTCAATGATGAGGAGGAGGACCCGGAGGAGGAGTCTTCTTCTGAGTTAGTGGCTGACGGGGCACGACCGGCTTCGGGAAGCCCGTCGCGAGCCCTGGTTCCTGTAGTAAAGCCGGGTGTTGGCCTGGGGGGGAGAGACAGTCCCAGATCATCATCCGTGGGCACAGGCGCCGCAGAAGTAGAAGAGTTGTTGAAGCAGCTCAAGGCGTTGTACCGGCCACAAGATGAAGATATGTCCGAGTACTTGACGCGGATCACTCGTCTTGTTTTGGCTTTAAAGACGTTGGGCCACGAAGTGTCGATCACTGACCTGGCCAGGGTCAGCTTGAAGGCAGAGCTGGTCCAGGAGGCCTATGAGAGAGTTGGTGATCGTTGGGATGTCCGTGGAATGGTGCGGTACTTGAGAGAGAAGTTCACCACTGCAGCCGTCGGCACGGAAATGCCAGCTGAGAACATCACGGAGCACGTGTCGGCTATTGGTGAGCTGATCATGCAGCTGGGTGGAAAAGAGAGCACTCAGAGCGGTAAGCTGTTCAGCACCCCCTCGCAGGACGAAGACCGGCCTGCGGGAGGGACGCCTCCGCGGCCGATCTCCTTAGGAGATATGAGCCGGGAGCGAATGGGTCCAAAGGATCTTGGAGGTGATTCTCCGTTGCGGGCAAAAGTGGCCGCGCTGGAGATGGAATTGGAGGCGCTTCGTCACGGATCGGAAGCGTCCGACGGGCACAAGGACCTCGCTGCGGCCTTGGAAGCTCAGACGAGGGCCCTTGAGGCTGCCTTAACTGGTAAGTCACAACAGACCAGCTTGACATCGGTGAAGACTGATGTCAATTGGCCAACGCTGACTGATGATCGGTCAGAAGCCAGAGATGTAGTGCAGTTCTACGAGGAGTTCGAAGACTGCTGCTCGCTGGCAAACAACTGTAAGGGCATGAGCTACAGAGAACAGCTCATAGCTCTACGTGGCAGGTGCAAAGGAAGTAGGCTGAAGACCTACACCAACATCTACCGCTCAGCGTGGAAGAGTGGAGAAATTCTGGAAAACCCAGAAAAGGTCTATAACCGGATCAAGGAAAAGCACCTGGTGTTTGCCGAGAGCAAGGAAGAGAAGGAGGTCCGAATCGACAATGAGCACGCCTTGCTGAACAAAGGGCGGATGAGCGCTCACCAGTTCGAACCGCTTTTCGAAGCTAGCGTGTCGGAGCTGGAGTCGATTGGCTGGGGGAAGACCCCACGTGAGCTCTACTTGTCCTACCTGCGGAAGATGCCGATGCATCTGCAGAAAGAGATCAGAGGAGATAAGAGGCTCTGGAAGGGCGAAACGCTGCTTAGGAGCCCTCAGACGTGGGAAGAGGCACATAGGGTTGTTCTGGAGTTTGAACAACGAGAAGCAACTCACAGAGCAACTGCCAACGCCGTCTACTCGTATGGAGATGAAGTGGGCGGTGGACTCTCGAAGAAAGATGCAAAAAAGGCAAAGCAAGAAGCAAGCAAGGCTGCTGCGGCCGCGGCTGCAGCTAAGGCGGCTGCCGCTGCTGGTGCTGCTTCAGGTTCACAGAGCGTCCTGGCGACCAAGCAAGAAAAGATCTGCTTCCACTTCAGAGACCACGGGAACTGTCCGAAAGGCAGTTCCTGCCCATGGTCACATGACAAAGAGCTAAGAAAAAAGGTCCTTGCGGCCATGAAGGCCAGCGGAGGTAAGGGGGAGAAGCCGGACCAGACCTTCGCGGCTAAGGGGCAAAAGGGGAAGCAGAAGGGAAAGGAAAAGGGCGCCGGGAAGGGCAAGGGTCAAGGGAAGGGACCGAAACCTCAAGGTACGCTTTGCCCGTTCTTCCAGAAGAATGGCGCGTGCAAGAAGGGGGCTCAGTGCGACATGGTCCACTCCTTGCCAGCCACTGGAGGAGGGAAAGGCGGAGGTAGCCAAGGAACGGGGGGTAGTTCTAGCTTGCCTACGGGGTGGAGCGCTCCTTCAGGCGCAGCGATGAACAACCCGTTCGCCGCGTTTTCAGTTGTGATCGGAGGTGTGGTAGGGTCCGCGGGGGCTGTTTCTCGTTTCGAGAGCGGCGCCGCGACTCAGCCGCCCCAAGTGCTCAGTTTGGAGCAGCCTTCGAATCCTGCGGACGGGAAGTCGCGGTTCACTTCACTTGATGATTTGCCCAAGGATTGGTTCCACTTGGCCGAGAACGAACCAGGTGGATACCAATACAAAACAGTTGTTCGAGTCTTAGACAAAAAGGTGGAGACAATGCTAGATGGCTGCGCGGGCTCCAATCATCTGACCGAAGAACTGGTGGTTGGAATGTTGAACCGGGCAGCAGAGTTGAACATCGCACCGAACGACAAGCGCTTTCCGGTGGTTCGTTTTGAAAAGTGGACGTATCCGGAGTACGTTCATGGAATAGCTTCAGGAGCTCCAGTGCCTTTGAAAGGCGCTGTGGTGATCCGAGTTCGGTTTTTGGAAGGGGAGCAGCCTGAAAGGACTAAGGATGGTCCTGAGATCCTAGTCCGGTGTAAGGTGGCAGCTCGAGGCACGTCAGACTGGCATGGCCTTATTTTAGGGGGTCGAGCCTTGGATTGCGAAGCTAAGTCTGGCTTGGGCTTTAGACCAGGCCCTGATGCTCATATCCTAGACACTTTGGGCATCAAGATCCCGCGATGCGAAGATCTCAGCCGGCAGCGCAAGGATCGGGCTTATGCCTTCCATTCCGTTCTGTCGAGTCTCGACGGACCTGAGGGGTTTGAGACAGGGGGCGACCAGCGTCAGCTCCTGCACTTTGCAGGAGAAGAGCCAGTCGTCCTAGCTCCTGGAGATGGTGCCTTGGTGCCGGTGACCCGGGATTTTGCCCAGGTCATTGACGGCTCCTTGTGTGAAGGAGTTCTGCCGATTGAAGGGCCGGTTGAAGCGGTCCCAGGAATATGGGACTCCGGAGCCGTTAGCGGCATGGTGCTGGTTACAGCGCAGGATGAGGAAGTCACGCTAGAGGCGGGGCGTCCTGTTGCGGAGGTGCGCCCAGGGTTGGCCGAAGTTACGGTCTGCGAGTGTGGCATGATGGACTCGCATCTGACTTCGCCCAGTGAAGGGAAGGTATGCCAGGAATGCGGCGTTGGGATCGCATCTAGCCCTCCCGCTTGCCAGCTCTGTGGGGCAACGGAACGAGCTGTTGTTCGAGATTTGCAGGGGTGTCGCACTTGCGCGCGCACTCTTGGAGCGAGGACCAGGCGCGCTGGCTATGGGTTGCTTTCGACCCTCGCCGCGGCCTCGGTTTTGCTTGGAACGATGACTTCACCTAGAGAGGTGAGCCCAGAAACGTGCAAGTTTCTTGATGGGGTCCCAACTGGCGGGTGGAGAGAGTGCCATGGGGGTCATTGCTATGTGGGAAAATGGCCATTTGAGGACGCGCTCACAGGGGTGAATGAGTCTGAGTACCCATTCCGGACCTTGGTAGTGCGGCAAGGGTCTCAATGGGCCTTGTGGGAAACAGTCGACCTGAGGCGATGGAGTCTCAGCGATTGCGCTGACCTAGCCGGGGATCAGGTTGGGGTTTTCTGCACAAAGGCTGGGCCGCGCTGGGCAGGATGGCTTGATGGCAGCGCGACCAGCGGGCTAGGAACGAGCCGCGGTCTCCACGAGCGAAGGGAGACGGGAAAGAACCCTTGCCTCCACATCGTCGAGACCGTTGACATGGAAAAGATGGGTGAAGAAACGCCCACGGACTACTACTATAGCCGGCTTCGAGCGGACCTGGGTGAGAGATACAAGAAGGCGGATCCTCACCTTCTTGATCACCTAGTCTCGTTGGAAGGATTCCTAGATAAATCCATCATCTTCGGCTTCTCCTTCGGAATCTCAAAAGCGGAGATCTGCGTGACCAAGGGGAAGCTGCTGGGGCACTTCATAGGGAGGTCAGGAAGCTCACCCGACCCGGAAAGGTGCCAGGTGGTTAAGGACTTCCCGCCGTTGACAGAAAAAGTACAGATCCAGCAATTTTTGGGCTGTGCCAATTGGCTCAGGGGTTATATGACCTCGGAGTATGGTCACGCGGCCAAAGTGTTAGGAGCGTGGCAGAAGCCCGGGGCCGTCTTCCCCGAAAAAGGGTTGGGTACGTCGGACACGGATGGGTGCAAAGCGTTCCGCGCGATCAAGAAAATGATGTGCGAATGCATCGCCCTTGCTGTCTTCGACGAGGCTTCCGCTGCTGACGGAAGCTGTCCCTTAGAGCAGGTCGCCGATGCATCGGGGATTGCGGTCGGAGGAACCGTACTACAGATGTCGCGCGACCTGTCGCGCATGAAGGTGCTGATGACGCACAGCAGGAGTCTCACTGAGGCCCAGCAGAATTGGCCTCCCTTGATCCAGGAAGCATTCGCGCAACTAGAGGTGAAACGAGCCTCGAGGAAAATGTTCGGCACGATCAAGTCGATATGTTGGACAGATCACGCGAATCTGACCAGATCGCAGACGAGCGACATAGGAGTCGACGCCAAGCTGGTCAGGTGGGTCGCAGAGATCCTCGCGGATGGATCAGAGATCCGGAGCTTGAGTGGCCGATCCGCCAAGTTGGGGGATGGGTTCAGCCGGAACCCGAAGGATCGGGATGCGCTCCTCCAAGCTCGGACCAAGGATCTGGCAGGCATCGCCGGACAGTTGAAGGGTTTTAATTTAGAAGAGTACCTAGGGGCGGGCACTGAAGACGAAGAGGGCGCCATCCCGTGGGCAGTCGGTGAGGACGCTGTTCCCAATAGGATTGCTGTTGCAGAGGACTGCGGAGCGGAGGTCATCGAAGCTCGCGTCCTCGTGGTAATGGACTACCAGCGGCGCACGGAAGGAAACGCGGTCCTCGCGGACGCGGGAAGGCTCTTCGAGCATGCCCTTCCAGGTATCAAGGTTCAACTTCGAGCGTGCTATGGTCCGTTCGAGGATGACGAAGGGTGCTGTTCACATTTCGATGGAGCTGCCGGAAGATTAAGCGGAGGAAAGAAGATCAAGAGGCTGCGAGTAGACCTCCTGACTTCTTGCGCAAAGGTGCTGCGCGAGATCGGTAGCTTCCTGCCGGACCTAGTGGTTGGGTTCGGGCAGGGCGGGGTGATCAGCGCGCTGCTTCGGTGGCCTCTGGTTACTGAAGTGACCCTCCAAGCCCGGAACCTTCAGGTCAAGGAGACCGTGAAGGTAGGAGCCGGCTGGGGGCGGATCAAGGGCATCTGGGCCGTTGATCCACGGATCTGGCGAAACCAGGTCGGGCAGGAAGACGTGGGCCTGGCTTGTCCAGAGTTAGGAAAAGAGTTTCCCGTCGAGCCTCTGCGCGGTTTTGGGGTCGCTACAAAGAAGGGTAGGCCAGATGAGACCGCAAGGATGCTCGAAGCACTTCGGCTTACTCGGGTCGAGAGGGTGGATTCGGTCGGGCTTCGATCGGCTCTCTCTGAGCCGCCGCGAGAGATGTGGGAGCATGAGGGGCTCTGCTCTTGTGGAAAACGAACTTATTTGTTTTCTCGGTGCCCAACATGTATCGCCCGCGAAGCCGAAGAAGATTTCGCTAGAGCTGTTGAGAGCAGCGTCGAAGCCAAGGAAGAAGAAGAGAATGATGATGACTTGAGGCTTGAGGTAGCAGGAATGCTCGCGGCGGTGGAGAAGCCGTCCGGTGGATTGTTCATTCCTGAAGAGCTCGTGAGGAAGTGGGGATCCGGCGGGCTCATCGATCGCCTTCGATCGTCAGCCGCGGTCCAGTCTGTCGAAACCCAGTTTGGCATGTTAGCCGCTCGCTTGTGGAAGAAAACCAAGGGTTTCCGGAATTTAGGAAAGCCGTGTCAAGACTTTCCGTACCGGACAGTCTGGATCGTGATGCACGATGGCGAAGTCGTGCAGGGTCATCAGTGCTGCAAGGAGGAGACGGCCACTAAAATGACCATGGAGTGGGCGCTGGAGCAGGTCCACTGGCACAACCACACTTCTCTCATCACGGAAGTGTGTGAGCGGGTCTGGGAGAATCGTAGCGCTGAGAATCTTCCCCCTAGCTTTCGGCGGCTTCTGCTGCTTTTGGGGCCGTATGCTGGAATTGAAGGTTGGGATGATGGCAAGGGAAGTGAGTCTCTCGCGCATCGGAAGTCTCTCAGAAACAGAAGCGTGCTAGTATGTTTTCAGGAAACTGATTCCGGGCACTGGCACGAGATCCGCTTGGGTAGGAAGATCAAGGTAGAAGAAGGGAAAAGGCAACGGACCTTGGCGTTCTTAGCTAAGGGAGATGGAAGAGACCTCGAGGACAGACTCGTCCTTCTGTTGAGGTCCAAGATCTGGGTCCTGACGGACTGGGGTTCTCCTGGTCGGCAGGCAGTTGGTGCTTTGGGAACATCCTCGACTCTGTCGTGCGAGGAAGCGGTCCTAAGAAGGGAAACGCTCGCTGAGGAAGCGCGCGAAGGAGCAGGGGTAGCAGAATTCCGTGTGAGCGGGTCGCTTCGTACCTCATGGTACGACGCCCAGCGGAGGGATGATACCCTTGCGGGCCACTTCCGCAAACCTGAGTACCCATTCAGGGTGAGCGGAGATGGAGTTTTAGAAAGAGAAGTGAAGTTGAAGACCGGTCAGACGGTCCAAGTTCCCGTCGTTCCCAATGGAGTGGCTGCGGCTAACGGGCTGACGTGGCGTAGAGCATGCTACAATGCAGTCCATGGCGGAGTCCTGGGGGCGCATCGGAGTGCACAGGTCACGCTCAAACTTATGGAAAGAGCGGTCTGGTGGCCTGCGATGGAAGAAGACATCAAGCGATGGGTGGCGTCTTGCCTTGCTTGCCTGAAGGGCAGGGGCAGGCCTACCAAAGTAGAGACGAAGGCGGTGAAGTGCACAGCTTCGACGTGTTGGGAGGAGGTGTCTGTGGATTGTGAGGGTCCCAATCGTGAAGATCGAGAAGGATACCGATATTCCCTCACCTACCTCTGTTGTTTGTCCCATGCAATCCTCTTGGAGCCCTTGCGGTCTTTGACGCACTCCGAGGTGAGAAGAGCATTCACGCGATGCGTTCTGAGAAGTCGCACCATTCCTTCATTGGTACGATCGGATCGAGGGGTCGAGTTTAAGAACTCTCTGATGCAGGAACTGCACGCGTTGCTTGGGAGTCAACAGCGTTTTAGCACCGCGCTCCGCCCCTGTGAGCTTGGAACGAATGAACGAGTTCACCAAGAAGTTCAGAAGGTCTTGGGTGCGATCCTGCGCGAGCTGGGATCAACGGATTGCTGGTCAGACTGGCTCATCGTGGCAGAGTACGTATTGGACAACACCCCTGGACCTCATGGCTACACCCCACGAGACTTGGAGCGCTCGTGGAGTCTGGCTTTGCCGCTCGAGCGTGATGTCCTCAAGGACGCGATGAGTTTTGAGCCCGTATCTGAATGGGCCGCGCGTCAATTTGCGGAGTTTCGAGAGATTTCCGCCATTGTTTCCAAGCACTGGGACGCCGCGTCCGAGGCGCGTGCCAAGTTAGCTAATCGCTTCCGGCGTTCAGTGGATTTGAAGGTCGGGGACCGCGTTGTTTGGCGTTCTCCAACAGCCCGTCCAGAGGGGGCGGGGCGGATGCCCTGGCGGCCGGGTCTGAACGGTCCGTGGGAGATTGTGGAGGTGCGTGGGCATCGTTTGCTTCTGGAGCCTGTTGTACCCCCTGTCCCTTTTTCCGCCTCTGGTCCGCGTAAACGCATAGAAGCCCATGCAGAAGATTGCATTCTGGTCCCAGCGGATTCCGATCCCCCGGAGTCGCGGGACCCAGTCGTTTTTGAAGACGATCGCGAAGGTCAAGCGCCGAGCCTCGGCCAGCAAGTGGTAGGAGATACCACTCAGGTTGAGTTCAGTGTGCAACGGCGAGGACGCCAGTTTGTGCTGCGCCTAGGGGAGCGTATTGCTTATAAACGCTCCGCTGGTCAAAAGGTTTGCTCTTTGGGGCAGGTCACTCAGGTTGATGTGGCGCAAGGCCAAGTGGGCGTTCACCGCTACTTACCTGAAGTCGGAGGCCTTCGCGTGAAATGGAGGCTCGCGTACCTTAACGAAGAAGGCGAGCTAGGGTTGGCGGGCGCGAGACCAGCCCAGGAACCGGTGAAGATCAAAGAGATCATCTGTAAGGTGGACATCAGCAAGGATGGAGTTTTGGCAGCGGCTTCAGCAAGGAAGCTGGATAAAGGAGGCTACGCCCTGGAAGAGCGCGTTGCCCGAGTTGAGCGGGCAGGGCCAGTCTCGGCTGCTGAGCTTTGCCGGGAGTTGCTCACGGAGCTTGGAGCGGGTTCTGTGGTCGGCGGCTCCCCCTCCGTCTGGAGGACTGAAGAAGGCAGGAAGGTGGCAAAGTGGGTGCAAACCAACGGCAGGCCGAAGGTGCACTTTTGGGAGGTGTTCGCGGGCGAGGCAGGTTTGAGTTCAGCCGCTCGCCGCGAAGGCTTCCAAACCGCGCCGCCGTTGGACCGCTTGTACCCTGGTTGCGGCCGATCCTGGGACCTATCTAGCGCTGTAGACCAGGAGCTGTTTTGGGCTCTTTTTGATTTGTTTGAGCCTGCTGCCATTCATCTTGGTTTGCCTTGTGAACCGTATAGTATTTCAGGAAAGCGATCTCCACAACCTAGCGATGAATTGCTGAGGGAGTTCGCTATCCGCGTTTTGTTGGCGCAAGAAGAGCGAGAACGCGCGGGTTCGCTGGAGAATCCTGTTTCCAGCCTGCTCTGGTCAATGCAGGATTGGATCGAGGCGTTCGGTGCTCTTGCTGGCCCGCGCAAGCCGTGGCAGTATGCGAGGACAGACGCATGTCAGTACGGCATGGAGTCGCGTAGTTTGTCAGACGACTCTTTTGGCCAGCCAATTGAGAAGGGGCAAGTATGGCTTGCTGATTTTCCACTTTCTTCTTTCACTTTACGATGCAAGCAACCTGATGCTCTAGGTAAGATAGAGCACAACCATCGGCATGTCCGCGGGTCTGTCAAGGTTGAGACCGAACAGGGGTTGCGATGGGTAGGTTGTGGCATATTGAGTGGCGCGTATGGTCCGCTGTGCTGCGAGAGCTACATGAGATGCCTCAAGGCGACGCTGGAGTCAGGGCCCGGTAGCTCCACGCCTGCGGGCGCAGGGGTCGTTTCGACCTCTGCGCCGCGGCCGCTCGATGTGCCGGTCATGGCTACTCGTGGTGACATTTCGGAAGTTGTCACCACGGAGAAGTTAAGCCAGGAAGCAAGGGATGCGCTGGAAAAGGAAATTGTAGCCCTATCCGAGCGCATGAACCAAGTGTGGAAGGACAGGGCCGACAAGAAGGCATGGGACGAGGTCAGAGCCGACCTTGCTGTGTACCGTCTGTCGGGGCAAAAGGTCGAAGAGGACCCCCGCAGGACGGCTAAGTACCGCCAGGAAGTGGTCGACGGCTTAGGGTTCGGCTCGGACGCCAAGGATAAGCGCCCAGAGATGAACGAAGATGATCTCGCCGCGCGCCGCGAAGTCTTGTCGCGGAAGGCTGGAGGGTTTTGGCTGGAAGGCAGTCCCAGGACAACCGTTCGCAATGTTCTTCATGACTGCGTGCCTACAGGGCCTCCAGTCAGCTCCCAGCCCCACAACCTGAAAGGGGAAGCAGCGAGCTGGGTCGATGAGAAGTTAGAGGAAGAAGTGCAGAGAGGCCAGCTCGTGCGAGGCTCAAGTGCCTGGGGAAGCCCTCCTTTCCCTACAAAGGAAGCCCCAGCGCACAAGAGACATAGAAAAAGGAGGCTGGTCGTAGACTATCGGCGAGTGAACGCCCGTGTACAACGATCAACCTACTACTGTCGAAAGGCGACTGACGTCCTTGCCTCTGCTGCCGGGAGCATCTGGTACTCCTTTGTGGATGCCGTGACGGGCTTCAACCAGATTGCGAACACCCGAAGGGCAATGGAGATCCTCGCGATCGTGGCACGGTCAGGGAAGTTTCTGCCCGTCTGTCTGACGTTTGGACCCGTCAACGGTCCAGACGATTTCTGCTTTGTCGTAGACAGAGCATATGGACCTGGCAGAGGCCGGAAAATGAAGTACACAAAGGAATGGATCGCCTACGTTGACGATCTGACCGTGAGGACAGGACGGGTCGTTGACGGCCGCTTTTTGACAGATGAAGAAGCAGACGCTGAGATCAAGGAAGCCTGCCGTAAAGCGCCAGTAGAGGTAGGCCAACCCACGTCCACAGCGCTGGAAGCGTTAGGAATCGACCCCAAAGGTTTAGGAGAAAAGAAAGGAAAACACAACCCGGTCGTTTCGGACCATAACCACCCAACTAGGGTCGTCGGTTCCGGTCTGGTTCGGGTTGTGTGGTGTGTTTTTGGTTTTTTTAGTTCCCTTTTTTCACTTCCTTTTCCTCCGCAGCCGTTTCAGTTCGGCCCGCGGGAGGGACGCGGGGCCGGGCGGAGTGGGTTGGGCGCTGAGCGTTTCGTGACTCTCGAACGTCTGAGCTGGTCGATCTCGGTTGACCGGCAGATCCTTGCTCCTGCGGCCGTTGGTTCCTGTCTTCAGGGCCGCGGCGCGGAGCTGGGAAGGATGGGTGGAAAAGGAAAACGCAAAGGAAGCAAGTCCAAGGACCGGAAGAACCAGCGTCGGGCGTACGCTGAGGACTTGCACGAAATGGGGTACTGCTTGACCAGAGCGCGCCGCCATGGAGCGTTCGGGCACTGCGGGTCCGCGATGAAAGGAGGGTGGATCCGTTTGTCGCGGTCCTCGCAGCTCTTCGGCGTTCCGGAATCCTGGCTGATCCAGGCGGTACAACGAGGGCCGTTTATACTTAGCGAACTTATAAGTAGATATCAGACTTACAAGAAGTTAGATGGAAGTTATGAAAACATATCTTACTTAGTAAAATCTGAGCAACCGTAAGTTTTTGTAAGTGTTTGTAACTTCAAATAACTTCACGCAAGTTTTCTCTTTAATTGAGTCGTCAGCAGAGAAGGAGAATGCTGTTGTCCAGCCGTTTGTGCCAGTGGCTAGGCTTTTGCCAAGCGCTGGAAAAATCCGCATCAGCAACCAGTTTCGTGTCGCCCTTTGGGCGCCACAAGGTCACGTTGTTGCAAGCCCAGCTCTCAACCTTGGCGGTGGGACAGAGAAACCATTCAACCGAAATCACTTCAAACACAGGTTTTGTTGCTGCGGCCCCCAGAGCCGCAGCGACCGTCAAAGCTACTTAAGTTATTTAAGACTAAAAATGATTGTCTATATACATGGTTTTGTGTAGACGCGTGCGAAGATGATCAACGAATGTTGTTCACAACAACAATCATACGGCGGCTTTGAGGGCCGCTGCGGCTTTGAGGGCCGCTGCGGCTTTGGGGGCCGCTAATAGAACAGGGGAAAATTTTCATGGTATATATGGAGGTCGATGAGGAAAAATGGTGGAAAACTTGCTAATCCACGGTCCAAAAAACTCTATCGTAGAGGTCGATGTGCACCCAAGCGCGATCGCGAAATCTCAAACAAGCTCGTACCAAACCGCTGCCACGCGGGCTTATCACAAAATCATCTTTGTAGACACGGCCTGCTTCCAGATCTAAAGCGGCGCCTTCTAGCACAGACACCATCGAACCATCTACAAGCTTCTGACTTTCAGATACTGGAGGTGTGAGGTCACCAGGCAAGCACGGCTTGTCGAAAAGGCGGCAGTGGCTGTTCAAAAGACGCGTCAAGACGCCTTCTGAAAACAGGAATGGATCATGTAGCATCCCATCCAGCCTGTTTTGAAGTTGATACTTATACGTCCTGTGTTTTGCCTCTTGTGGGAAGCAGTCCACACAAAGTTGAGTACGCCAGATCATGTCACACAGGTGCAATTGGTAATGGTGCTTTGGCTTGCAGTTTTCATAGGCCAAAAGGTAAAGCTCCAAGTAGGTTTCGGTTTGCTTCAGAAGTTGTTGGCATTTGACTTTCGAGATCCCACATTGAAAGCTGGCCAAAATCTCCAGAAGCTTAACCAGGGCATAAAAGGATTGAAGCTCAGCCTGAACAGGCTCAGTGTCGTCGATTGACTCCATGATGTGATAAAGCATCAAAGGAATGAGCATTCTCAAATCACTGGCTGAGCCACGGTAAGCATCACCAGAGAACTTTTGTGCATCAGCCAAATTCTTTCGCCAGGACTGCCCTTTTCGCGTACTACTACACCAAGGGGTGCCCTGAATTTTTCCGGCTAGATCTTCACAAGTAAAATTGCACTTGGTCGCAAGTACTGACATCAAGTTGACAACCTCCCAAGCTGCCACACCTGATGCCCAGAAAATATGCATTGGATCAAAAAGCACGGCACTTGGTTTCAAAATTTCCCTGGCCTCAGCGTGAGCGAACAAAGCATTTGGATTCCAATTGAAGCCAGCAAGCTTCTCGAGTTTTTCTTTGTCCTTTTTTTTCATTGTGGGCGTGTCTCGGGCCATCATATCCCAAAGCTCAAAAACTTCCTGGTCACTCCAGAGATCAAACTTGGACCATTTGGTTTCCGAAATTTCTGTAAGATAGTTCTCACCATCAACAAGATTGGAATCTCTTTTGCACACGTTTTTGCACGCTATACACGCTTTGATCGAAGCGCTGCCTCTCCAATTGTACGTTGCCCTGATGGCATCAAAGTCTGCAATGAAATTTGCTTTCATGATGTCAACGCGAAGAAGCCTTTGATTCCCATCCAGTTCCAAGGGAATGCCATGTTGCATATCAAAAGATCGCACCAACAAAACCACTTCTCGCATCTTCTCGCATCATTCTGGAAAAACCACCGCTCACTGTCTCCAAGCTTTTGTGTTGCGCCACCAGCAATGGGATCCAGCTTTCCTCTTTGTGCCTCTGCTGCAACTCCACCATAGTAAAGTATCCAATGGCAATCTTCTTGGAAGAATGCGGTGCTAGCGGGTTTCCTGAAATCACTTCATCCCAATAAAACAAAGGTTTGAAGGACTCTCCGTTAGACCTGTCAATGATGTGGACAAGTCTCCTCGCGAAGGCACCATTCTGGGATGCCAAATGCTGCAAGAACTTTGGTATGTGAGTCACAGCTACATGGATCATCTGTCCATCTTTGTTTTCTCCGACTGGCAGTTTTACTGTGCAATCGTGTGGTAGTTCTTTGTGGACTTTGCGCTTGTAACCTGAGTAAGACTTGGGAATCACTTCTGGGCGAGCAATCTGCAAAATGCCATGCAACGCCTTCTCAGTGCAGCCTGGCACTTTCAAGCATTCGCGTAGCACAAGGTCATCTTCATGGCCATGGCTAGTTTTTCGAGACTTGGGCATGCAGGCTCCCCTGTACAAGGAAAACATGCGATCACATGAAGAAACATCTTGTGATGACTTCATGCAGGCCCAAACCTAAAAGGCATACATGCAGTTGCAATAAGATACATTTTTTGGTGAGGATTGAATTCCTTTTGAACAATTCGAAGTTTAGAACCCATGTCTGTGTGCCATGCCTTACTCTGAGCACATACCGGCTACCCCAACTGTGAACGTCAACAAGCTCCTGGTGAGCGCTGGGCTTGCAGAAGCTTTCGCACGATCGACATTTTCGTTCTGCGCGCAGGTTCAACGCTCATCCATGCAACTCAGACGTCGTCATATGACCTCATTATGACCTGGTTCGAACTATACAGAACCTGTCACTGCATGATTGCAAGGTAAAAGGCCAGGCGGCGGCCTTCGAGGCCGCAACCACCAAGCGGCCACAAAGCCGCGGCCATTGAAGCCATTTCATGCGGCCCACAAAGCCGCGGCAACGCGAAGCTTGCTAAGTTGCGGCCCGCTAAGCCGCATCAAAAAGATGCCTTTATTTATTCTTCCTCTTCTTGGAAGAGGCTGACTTGGCATCCTGAACAAATTTCTTTGCTGCTTTGACCCTGACCATCATCTCTTGGCTGTCTTTGAACGGGAGAGCTTCCAATTTGGCCTCAGAATTCTTGGCATGCTTTTGCAAAGCTGCAGCCGCCGCCTTCTTCCAGTCAAGCAGGACATCGCGCTCTTGCACCAAATTCTCTTTCAAGAGGTCTGGCCAATTGTCATCTCCAGAAGCACAGGTCTGCTGCAGCTCCACGCACAGAGGCTGCAATTCCACCACAGCCTTGCCAGCCAAATTCACGATGGTTTTGTTCATCTTCAGCATCTCACGACGTTCTTTCTGGCTCTCTTTCTTGCGCTCCTGCTCTGCCTTGCGCGCAGCAGCCTTCTCCTCCTTCTTCCTTTGGGCTTCCAACTGTTTAGCTGTAAGTTCTTGTTCGGGTTCAGGGATCGGTTGCTCCGTGTCCGGCGCGTCTTCGTTGTCGCTCAACAGATCCACGATCATAGCGCCTGGAACATTGGCTGCCTCAGGCTGGTGGTCCACCTTACGCTTGCGGACACTTCGCTCTGCAGCAGCCACAGAGCTCTCAATCCTTTGTTTCACCTCTTTCTCTTGCAAAGACGTCACCGGGAGCATGTAGGTCTTTTCCTGCAAGATTGGATCCCACATCTGTGGCGCGTTCTCCTGGATCTGGTTCGTGTTGTATCCTTTCCTGGGCTGTGGCTTGATTGTTTTAATGTTGCAAAAGTCTCTTTATATACATCAAATGGTTTTATGTTTACTATATATACTATATAAATGAACTACTGCCATCCATGGAACACAAAACAGAAGAAACGAATGCCAAAGGCAGCCAAGCTGCTGCGCATACACTGACAACGGCAGATAAGTGCCTTTGCTGCTCTTGGCAAGCTCACTGGTCTTGACCATGGTAAGGCTATTGACCAGCACATCACGCAATCGATCATACCGAAGTCGTCCATCAGTGCTTTCTTCCCTCATGGCACGGCACTGTTGCCAAAATTGAACCTGTTCTTCGGTGGTCAGAGCAGCAAACTCTGGAGGTGGCCATGTGAGGTTTCGACGGAGTGTCGAGTTGATGGCATTGCACGCTTTACACCACCAAGTCTTGCCTTTGGCTTGGGCATCGAACACAAACACCTCCATCTGGCACTTCTGGCAAACGACTTTGCTCAATTCCTCATCTTTGGGAGGGCTGTCCATGAGAACCAGAGAGTCGACCTTGGCAATTTGACTCACTTCTGCTTCTTCAACCTGCTCCTCTCCAACCTTCTCAGGAGTGTCCATGCCCAATTGGTTTTCTGGGCATTCCCTCATAAGACGCTGGCTCTCGTCACTCAAGATTGGCTGGACAGATGGATTGACTTGTGACTCGCCCGGCTGCTGAAGGGTTGGCGCAGGTTCCGCATCCATGATGAGTGCCAAAGAGAAGGGAACGATGCGCTTTCTTTTCGGACCAGAAAAACTCAAAACAAAAAACGCATACACTGCTAGCGCTGTCACGATAGTCTTGACGGTGTCAATGATAATGCTGATGAGGCTCATGTTCATGATTCTCATGATGGTCACAATGACAATCGTGATTGTATGATGTAGTTTACAGTAACTCTGTTTAATGCTTCTCAGCCTTTTTTCTCCAGAAGAGAGCCTCCATTGGGGACAGCTGGCGCTGTCCACCTGAATCAAAAAGCTCTCTTTTGGCGGCCCACAAGGCCGCTGCACAAGGCGCGGCCCACTGAGCCGCTTGAAGGGTATTCAAATGCGGCAAGCCCAAGTGCCATGATATTTTCAGCTCATGGCTGGCCTCTTTTTGACACCATGGCTCTGATTAGCAGCCGGTCTCTTTTTCGAGGACTTCTTGGGCGCCGGCTTGGGAGATTTCTTGGGCGCTGCCTTGGAGGATTTGGGCGCTGCCTTAGGCACAGCCTCCTCACTCATTGGCGAAAAACATTTTGAAACCTCATCACGCCACTCACCATTTGAGATGAAGTGTGTACCGTTCACCACAAAACGCATCTGGTTTCGTCGATCGATGGGAGGGACGGTGTCGTCCACAGCGTCCATGCAGCACATCAAGAAGTCTTGAACCTGTGCACTCCCGTGATATTTCACCCTGGTTACAAATTCTCCCTGGAAGGAATTGATGTCTACATAGTTCCCATCGCGGACCAAATGGTAAATCTTCTGAGCAACTCCAGAGGGTGGACGCGCAACCGCAATGGATAATGGAGTCGTCTTCCGCTCGAAGATGTCATAGTGCTCGTACACTTGCTCTTCAATCGCTTGGAATGGAACAAAGCTGCCCCGAATGCCCAGCTCCAAAAAGATCCTTGAAGACACAGGGAAAAACTGTATGTTTGATGTTGTTATGAAATGTTATGAACAAACTTACATTCTGGTAGAAGATGCAACACCGGAGTAGTCTACCATTGAAAAACTAAAGGTTTTGTTACAATGACTGCC